GATTGGCCATCGGTGATCGGTCCTGTGGGAACAATGCTCCGTCCTCTCGAGGACGCGTGGTCAATGGTCTAACCGCTAAGACATGCAAAACATAAGAGTACGCCCCCCCCCCGAACGCTGCACCATCGCACCAACCCCCCACTAGTGATGACTTACTATTACAATGTATCGCTGGTTGGTGGCCATGTTTGCGTTTTTGCTTGTTCGTTAGTGGTCTCTCCACGGTGTGCCTATTTCTGTCTCTTATTTCTTGTTATTTTCGGCCTGGTCCCTTCTTGTCCTCGCTCTCTTTCAGTTTTTTTTTAGAAAGTAAATATACTAACCTTACAGAAAGACTACATTTTGTTTCCCTTTCCTTACTGTTTCCTTTTTTTCTCTTTATCTCTGTTTTTTCTCTTTTTTTTTCACTCTTTTTCCGTGCCAGATGGCCTTGTCTCTGCTTGCGTTGTGACGTACCATGATTGAACCAAGGGGGTCTACCTATTTGTATCCGGCCCGTGATGATGGTGACTCCTAGTCTCAGTTGTTACCTCGCATAGCGCGCAGAGGGAGTGGAGGACTCCAGAATATCTGTCGTTGATTTCTTATTATACTCCGTAGTCTGTGTGTGTTTTCATCCTTTTTATAATGGCGACAGTTCCCCCATTTTTCGTGGTGAGACGTGTACTACACCCTCCAGCGTATGTAGAGTACTACAATTTTCAGTGTATTTCTTCGTACAACTACAACCATCCAGAGTCACACAGTCTATTGACTTTCGGACCCCTCGGGGCCAGTTTGAGTGTACATTTTTTGGGTAAGTTAACCTGTGACCACGGGAATCGACCGCGTCGAGTATTGGATCACTACGGACATACGAAGGTACTGGGTAAAGAGAGATCGGAACGGTATTAAATGTGAAGACAACAACATTAACAACAACAACAACAACAATGCTCAATTGTTCAGTGTTCAGTGTTCAGTGTTCATTGTTCATGGGCGCCTTCCGCGCTAGAGTGTCGAGCGGTCCAGTTGAATGATGTTCCCCGATGACTAAAGCTCCAAAAAGTGTGTCAGGGTGCTTTGGTGGGGTGTAGGCCCAGTTCCGCGGGTTAAATTGAGTACCCGACGTCGGGATGTTGGGGTTTCAGCGATATGTAGTGTTTTGTACTGCAGAATGTATGAAAAAAAACGGGGATGGGGCTAAAACCTCCCCCCCGTTGGAAAAACGACGATGAAACGTGTTTTTAAGGCCATTTTCAAGCTCGTTTTTTTAGGCTATTTGATGCGTACAACCGTGGAGATTGGCCACAAATACCCTGTGTGACGTATGTGGACATTTATTTCACCGACGTGCTTGAAAATAATGTATGCTGTGCATTATATATATAGAAAAAGACAGCCCATTTCGGCGACAAACTGTGAAAATATTAGCCACAGACGCCGGCAAATATGTGTTTTCTCCTGCTGGAAACCCTTCTTTGATATCCCAAACCGCCAAAGGGAGACGACCTGCCGCTGCATATGAACAGCAACATGCAACAAACAGCACACAGCAACAAAAAAAGTACAAAAACTGCAACAAAATTACCCAAAAAAACAAAAAAACATGGAAGAGAACAAGGCGCCAAACACGAGCACATGACGTGCACCACGGACACCCCTCAATTCCCTACACCACAAGACGCCCGAGTAACCTTGTGCTTGCCCGCCACATCTTTCACCATACCCACCATCCCCGCGTACTATTTGGCCGGGACGCAGTCGTCGCAAGCTCCAACACTACACTTCGAGCAGTAGCACGACGCCTGGCGAACGCGNTAGCAGCAATAGTGAAGCTATCTAAAGGGGTACAGAGAAGTGTAGTTGACTCGTCACATCGACAATTGTACAACAATAAAATTTGACAGCGCTTACCGGAGTCTCCCGACGCACGAGAAATATCGTCAGAGTGCCAGAACCTCCTCGCCAAATCCAAGACACGTTCGTCCATCTTGTCGCTCCTTTCCTTGCGAGGAGCCCAGAGGCATCTCCCCTTCTCCAAAGCTCCCTGTGGGAGTATGGTGTGGTCAGTCCTGTGCATCCGGGTACGCGCTGCACGGAACGTGGGGTTTCTCACACCGAGACCCTCTGCTCGCGCGGCAAGGCTGACNAAGCGTCAGAACGGTTGATTCGTCCGCCTGCCATCTCTGCGGGTTAGCTTCAACCTCTTGCTCGCCACCTACGAGGGGAACCCCGTTCTCTGTCTGCACCTCTACGCTTACGCCCGAGCTCTCCTCCTGGACCTCCGCTCCCATGAACTGGTACAGCTTGGAACTCCNGGTGTGGTCAGTCCTGTGCATCCGGGTACGCGCTGCACGGAACGTGGGGTTTCTCACACCGAGACCCTCTGNTCCCGACGCACGAGAAATATCGTCAGAGTGCCAGAACCTCCTCGCCAAATCCAAGNGATGCCCGTCAAATCTACGAACGGGCGAGGGATCTCTCGGTGTCCAAGACCCTTGGTGTGGAACCTCTTGATCCGGTAGGGGGACCAGCTTGAAAAGTGACCTCCTCCATCCTCCTTTGCCTCGGCGTAGACTTGGAGGANGACAGCAGCCTTCGTCGCCGCTGCCTCTCCAAGTTCTCCGACACACAGCTCCTCCTTTGTACACATCATCCTCTAACACGCTCTGCTTCACCCCGTCGCGGTGCCGGTCGATAGCCTGTTTGAGTACGATCGATAAAATTTGAAGCAGTTGTGACGAGAGAGGGGGGAAATGTGAGGATGGGACTCAATAGTTTCGTGGGAAGATGGAGAGCAGGGGAAATATACCGGAAATACAGCAGTAGTCTAGCCTAGAGGGAAATTCAAACATTAGAAAAATGCGCAAGATATCACCCTATCTCTTGCCGTACACCGCTCTGAACTCACCGTTTGCCGTTGTCGTGGAGGAGTCGTCGTGGGTTGTGGGCTTCTCCTCGGTCCGTAGAAAAGAAGCGCCTCAAGTGGATCGGAGCGAGCGAGACGTGCATCGGCTCCTAACCTTGGACCTCGTTCGGCANTTTCGTGGGAAGATGGAGAGCAGGGGAAATATACCGGAAATACAGCAGTAGTCTAGCCTAGAGGGAAATTCAAACATTAGAAAAATGCGCAAGATATCACCCTATCTCTTGCCGTACACCGCTCTGAACTCACCGTTTGCCGTTGTCGTGGAGGAGTCGTCGTGGGTTGTGGGCTTCTCCTCGGTCCGCTGAAAAGA